CACTCAAAAAGGATTTTAGAGTTGTTTTGATTTGCATGATCATTTTCTTGATGTGTGGAGAACCATACTTGCTTGCTTGATGTTGAGATTTTGGGAGATTGCTTGGAAATGTTTGAAAAATTACATATTTGAGGTAGTTTTCTCCCAATACTTGTTTGCAATATTGGTACCTCTTTTGAAAGAATGAGCTTAATGTTTGTGGGTATCATTTCTGGAAACCCTCACAAGACTTCACTCGTCCACTAGGGATAACCTAGGGGTTTAAAAGGCTTGTTGCATATGCTAAATGCAATCGTGTTCCCTACGAAAGTGGCGTTATCCATTTATTGTTTTCTAGATTCATACTTGTATAGTTGTTCATTTCATTCCTTTACTTTCTAGTTCATTGCTAGGGACTAGTAATATTTAAGTTTGGGGGTGTGATGAGCACTAAAAAGTGCGTATTTAAAACCCTTAAACTTAGGCATTCTAGTACCCTTATCTATCTTACTTTACCGTTTTAGATTGATTTCGTATTATTTCCATTTTCAGGCACTTATCCCGAAAATAAGCTAACTCAGCCAAATAAGAGCAGAAATGAAGCAATTCTGGGATGAATCAAAGAAAGGAGCTAAGTGGAAGCAAAAGGAAGAAAAATGTGGAAATCAACATCTTCGATTAATCTCAGATCAAAGTTCGATCGATATAACATGATCGATCTCAGCACTTCAAGATGGATCAGAGCCATGATGACATTTTCAGAGATCTCAAAAGTTCGATCGATCCAACACCATTCTTCGATCATCGAGCTGCTTTGTCCTTATCCAAATGATTGATCTTATCTAGTTGTACCACCCTACCAACCACTTTTGTCCTTTTCCCAAAAATATCTTCAAAATATCTTAAATTTGTCTTTATCCAAAAAGCGCCACCAATGAAGATCGAACTAGCCTAAGTTTGATAGATCTCAACCATGTTCGATCGATCCAAGTCTAAGGTTCGATCGATCAAACTTCCTCCAGTGCGAAAAAGTTAAATTTCCAGCTCATTGAAAGTTGTCCTTTATCTAATCATTAGGGAATATTGTGTGCACGACCCCAGCTCATTTTAGGGTGTCATTTGACCTACCTATATAAGGATAAGGATTGCTTTTTACAAGAGGGAGCTAATATCATATCATATCATCTCTTGGAGAGGAAGCTTAGAGGAGGAGGAGGCTAGAGACACCATTGGAGACTCTTCATCATCCAAGGAACAAACCTCTACCATGGAGTTTGCCCTTGAGGTTTGGAGAAGCACTACCATGAGTGGCTAGACATCTTCTTGGGGCTAAAGTTAGCCTCAAGCATGCTTTCTACATCCTGATTTTGTATATTATTGAGGGATTAGTGTTGTAATACATGTTTTGACATTTATATATATATAGATCTTGTTTATTCAATGATTTATGTGGTTTAATGCTTCCAATTGATCATTTCATTCTATCCATATGTTTATGTATGCTAGAATAGATGTTCATGTGTTTGTCTCTATTTCTTGTGTTATTGATGCATGTCTATGTGTATTAATGCTATAGATCTAGATTGTCAAAACATTGTGCTTAAAAGAATGCTCTTGCGATTTTCTAGATGGTCCATGCTCATTTCTTGATGGATTGTACCTCTCCCTTAGCTTAATTAGTTTAATTTCATGTCATTAGCTTAATTGTAGTGTAGGGGTAGCATAGTTGTTAGATGGGAGGACAATCCATGTTTGTTGTTTGATGTTTCATACTTTTGAATGCAAGTAGCATATGTCTCTAACCTTGTAGTGTATTTGGCTTGTGAGCTTAATGAAAGGATTAATGACTTGCTAGATATGTTGTGTTTTTCACATGCTATTTAAACAATATATACTTAATTGCTAGATATATTGTGCTTTTCACATGTTGATTAGACAATGTATGCTTAATTGGTCACCCTTGCTAATTGAATCAACCAAACACACACACACATCAATATTGCAACACACATTACCCTCATTAGTCACTAGTTAAGGGTGTAGAAAAGCATTGCTTGGTGGTGACCTCTAAACCCCAAGATCTCTCTCTCTCTTACTTACTCTTATTTGCATTCAATTATTTAGTTTAATTTGCTCTATAGTTTAATCAACCAATCAACCATTTGTTTGATCACCCGACCTACTAACCCAATTTGTGATTCCACAAAGTAGTACGACTCCAATCCCTTGGGACGATCCCTACTCACTCTTGCTACGTTAGTAGTAGTGGTTTTTATAAATTTAAATTTGACCTAAAAGGTTTTCCTTAAACTGCACATTCACTACATCAATTTGGCGTGTAGAAACGACCTTCCGACCAATTTCAAAAACTTTTTTTTCCAAAAACAATTTCATTTGTTTTTAAAACAAACATTTTCCTTTTACTTTTCCCAATGAATGCATGAATACTTCATGCTTCCGAATGCCAAATTCAACAATAAAATTTTACATACTCTTCTATATTATCATCATTTTATTATTATTATTAATATTATTATTATTATTATATATATATTTTTGATAGAAAATTCCAAACAAATATTTCACAACCACAACATCAATTTCCATAGCAATTGGAAATTCACAAGTCACACAATATACTAAAATTAGACATACTTCTTCACAATAATGTAAATAGCCATGTATATAACCCAATTTGCATGTAAAACACATTCGTTATTTTGAGCACATACAACCACAATAGCAATGGACAAGATAATTAAAATTAAGTATGCTTAAGGTCAAATTAAAGAGAAAAATTCACAAAAATCTAAGAAGTCATGGATTAGAACACCCCTACCTCAATTTTGTAGAAAACCCTCAAATTTGTCGCATCCAAATCCTAGAATTCGAAATTCTTAGGGTGCACCAAAACCACCTTTGCTCCGATCAAATCGAAGATCTCGACGCGCTCTTTAATTTGCCGCAAATGGCATTTAAAAACTCCAAATGGTGAGGGAGATATCAAGGTTTGAATTTTTGAAGCAAAAGGAAAAAGAAAAATCTAGAAAGAGAATGAGAGAGATAGTTATGGGAGAGGAAGAGAAGTGAGAGGCCTAAATGGCTTCTTAGCCTTTAAAAGAGGTGGTGGGTCCCACCACCAAAAACATTTTCTTTTTCTTTATTCCTTTTCTTTTTATTTTCACTACACAATTTATATATATATATAAATAAATTACAACAATTACAATTTATATAGTGAAGGAAACACAAATTTGAATAATTAAATCCAATAAACCATGTCAACCAACAATGTTCATGAAATCTGATGTTGAGCCTATTGTTTTAGATTCGAATTATTTCGAGTGCAATTAATTTTTTAGAGGTTACGATCGCAAACATTGTCTAAATTTTACTTGATTTGTATGAAGGAGTCACTTTGCACGAGTCCATAAATTAGTTGGAGCAAAATTCGATCACCCCAATTATCCAAAAAAAAAAAAAGAAGAAGAAGAATAATAATAGCAAAGTTGGCCATTTGCTTTTTTAATGTAAACAATGTGTTGTTTGATAAAAACTTTGCCTACAAGTTAGCGGGAGGAAAACTAGATATAGATTCAATCTTTAGAATTAAAAAAAAAAAAAAAAAGAAAAAAAAAAAGAAGGGTGATTACTAAAGTAAAACGTGCGTATTCATGCTTATTATCAGTTTTTTTAGCATTGCCACTAAACAATTATGCTAATAACATCATAATATAGTTAAATACTTTGCATCAAATGCCTTTAATATTATGTAATTAATTACATTCAATATTGTAAAAACATAAATCCAATTTACAAGGTTTTCATTAAGTTTTATGTTTTAAAAAATTCATCTGCTTAAATTATTCAGCACTTCCAATACTAATTTTTAAGACCTCAATTTTCAATTTTATTGTATCCCTTTGTAACACAATTAAATTTAGAACTTAGAAGCATGTTTTCCACTAACATAAAAAAAATAATAATAATAAAATAAAAAATTCAACTTACAACCTACATTGATTTGACTTTCTGAATATATTTTTAGTTGAGGTATACAGTATTAATAATGCATTCATTAGATAACACCACTATCTCAGTCTATATTATTCTGTTTTAATGCCAATTAATCAATTTCCTAACAAGTAAGTCAACTTACTATTCGAGAATTTTTTAATATAAAATATTAAACTACATGTAACGGTTCTTTTTAACATGATAAAATATTCAACCATGTAACTTTGATTTTTACTTGAACTTTAAGGACATTGAGGCTCTTTTTGACATAATAAAATATTCAATAAAATAAACTTTGATTTAATTGAACTTTTAACGCTTTTGATCTAATAATATACTGTATTATACATAAACATATATTAGAATGTTAGGTCTAGGTAGTGGTTTCTTCACCATATCTGCCCACGATGGATCGTACGGTGGTGATAGAAGATGGATCGTACGGTGGTGATAGAAGATGGATCGTACGGTCTAATCACACCATAGTGGCGGGGACTAACCAATGCTGGACTGGCGCGAAAAGACAGCGGTCCAAAGTTGGCAATTCAAATCCACGCCATTTTTCTTCTCAATGGTCGTGCATTCCACTGTGGTCCACACTCGTTTCTCTCTCTCAAATTCCATTTCGATTCATTTTCTTTCCTTTATTTTCTCGGCCACCAATCAAGCCATAAAGATTTTGTACTCCTGTATTTAAGATCATCGTTGGAGCTATTAAACTAATTTGAATTAAGTTATTACTACTATATCGTAACCCAGCTAGATACTTGATGTGCAAATATTATGGTTTGATTTTCTTGCAGTTTCTTAGTAACCAAACAGGTAAAATGGAATCCAACTCAGCACTGAATAATGTTCTTTTTCTCTGCATTGACGAAGATCTACTTTCGTTCTCTATTGTACGGTTTATCCAAGTGTTATATTAGGTCAACTTTGTGGTTGACGTTCATAAAGCTATAATCGAGTCACATTTGCACCACCACCATTGCCTTTTGAACATTATCTCTCTCATTATGATCTTTTACACATATATATACATACATTTATGTGTGTGTGTGTGTGTATATATATATATATATATAATTTTTGTATGAAACCGAAATTTGGTGGGATTTAATTCTGCGAGTGTCCAGCTTGAATCGGGTTGGATTCAGCTCAACATGTCTTTTTCTACAGCTTTGATGGATTGATTTAGAAAGTAGATTACTCTTTACGGGATTAATTAATATTTCGTGAGCTTGTCATTGCTGTATGTGGGGACTACTGTTCTGCTACTGATCTGTATAAATTTTGCATTACATGTTTGACTCGTTGATGCAGTTGTTGTTGGTTTCGTGTTTGATTTTCTAGGCTGTATCCAAAATTGACGGTGGAGAGATGCCTCCATTCCCGTAAATCATAGTCAAGGATTTTGAGGTAATCAAGAACTTGCCTTTTTATATGATTTGAATTTGAATTACAAATAAATTTCATTTGGTTTGACAGATTGGTATTGCCAAATGCATTGTGTATAAATATCAATTCATGATGTTCAGCTTCCTATTTATTTTTTCAGCTGTTAATATCAGCCAGCTGTTAATATCAGCCAACTTAATTGTACCCATCCATGTGCTTCTGTTTTTTTTTTTTCAAAAGGGGAACGCATCCCAAGAGAACAAACACAGGGCCAAAACAATCCTTTAAGCCTTCAAAGAGGCCAAGAAAACAACACCATCCATGTGCTTCTTTTGCCACCTATGTCTTGTTAATCCCATTATTCTGTAAACTCTTGAATCAAAATTTTGTCGGGATCTTCATTTTTCTTTCTTTCAAGTACAAAGCTTATGGTATTAAATCAACCTCTGTACTTAAAACTGTTAGTTATGAAAAGTTGAGGTTAAATTTTTAAATGAAAAAGGACTTTGTGCAGTTAAAATATTTTCAACTGTTTCTTCTTGTTTGATTTATGGTTACCGAGTGTATAATAGAACAAAAGTTCTATTCTTCTTTACTTTGTTCTGTAAATGAAGTGAAATTTTTTCTTTGAAGGGAAAACTAAAAAAAGTGCTTCACCCACCTCCACAATTCCATGAAATTTAGTATTATGATGATCTCTCCTCTTTTATAATTATTATCAAACTAAATGTTTTTGTGAAGGAGGAGAAATTTTTTATGACAATTCCTAATTGCATTTTTACATTTTCCGCTTTGAAGCATTACATCATATTTCTTGATATTTTGCTACTGATTTAATCAATTGTTTTTATACTCGCTCTAAGTACTAAAAGTAGTTTTCTTAATGAATTTTGTCAAACCTGAGTTGTTCATTAAAGTATAAAACATTGAAAATTGCTGGTGCTGACAAAATTTCAAGCCTGTATTTGTTTTGCTCACCTAACCAAAGAACTTTTTATTTCCTCGTCTATCTGTTGAATCAATGTCATTGTCACATGAAGCAGCTGTACTTATTATACATGGTGTGAAAGCAAGGTTATTGCATGCTAATTCTATTTATACTGGCTCCTATTGCCGGTAGGCGTGTGTTAGATATTTTTAAGTTCCGACTTTGTCACCCTGTACTCACTGCTTTTCCCAAAACACTATTTTTGATGAGAATTCTCTTGTAATTAACTTGCTTTCTCCAGTGAAGAGAAGAGTATACCATATTTTGGTGCTTCGACGGAACTTGGATCTTGGATCAACCTGCGTGCAGAGCTGCTTGCTTGGTAGAGTGCTATTGGTGTTGAAGGTCCAAATTGTTTTTGACATTATCACTAAGGAGCTTTAAGGTTAGAATTTGTATTACTTATTTTTTGGTATGTAGTTACTGATATATTCATCTTGCTGTATGTACGGGATGTTGTGAATACTTTATTAATTATACAAATGAAGGTTCAATTCAGAGTCTATAGATTGCTTCTTTTGATATGCTAATGTTTGGGGCTTTAGAGGGATTGAAATTTGGGATCATAGATTAAATACATGAGATACCATCTTGTCTTCTATCAACACTCGTGCATGTCACAGTAAAATTTTGTTGATTTTTTATTAATTTGTCATGCTAGTTCGATGCCAAGAAAATGACTAAATGAAAAGCATGTTTGTCTCTCTAATCTGCAAGTTCTCCTATAATTCCATTTCGGTTAAGAGATTCCCTTTTCTGTAATACCGTCATATGAACTGCGATGACTGATTTATTTTACGTTTCTGGAATGCACCAAATTATGTGAATATTCCTCTTCTGAATTTTTTCATGTCGACGTCATCTATGTAACGAGTCTGATTTTTTGTTGTACAGACTCTAAAAATTGGTAACATAAGATGGAAATGAGCATATTGTCATAAAGTGCTTGAATTAGTTCAGATATTGCTCTGCCCTGTTAGGGTTGTCGCCAATTGATCGTTCTTGTTTCAAATAGAATACTACCAGAAAATGCATACCATTTCTTGAACTTTATGCCAGAAGTAATTTAATTCCCCTTGTTCTTTCTGTCACGATAGGGTTACTTCGTGACCATATCTGAATTTATGAGATTACCTGACACTGGTTCTTTCAAGTATTACCTTGAAGGAGATAGCTTTGGACTCGGATGATAAACTGGTATAAAATGCGATGGAAATGGGGTTAATACTTGTTAAATTTGAGGAAGACGTGTATAATCATTTTATCAAATAAGGCAATAGAAAGATGAAATTGAAAGTTCATACTTTACGAGTGATGAGTGGTATGCTGGTATGGATGAGAGTTCTAGTGCATTTAATGACAGCTAACACGGATATGCTCCATATGTATCTTCATTTCTTTAAAGCGGCATCTAGTGTTTGCTCTTTAATTATTATAAGAACCCTGTATAACAGAACCATTTAATTTGTAGGTATAGTTGCTTTATCATGGAAAACAGCAAACATCAGGGTTTGGCAGAGCAGAATTCCCCTGAAGTGATTCCATCACTCATCAAATTTATAACTGCAAATGAAGGGGCCAAGTTTGATGGTGTTAAAGGACAGAGTACTTTGAATGATCAGTTTCAACCAACCGGCTTCAATTCTTTCAGCCCCTCAGCTGCCGTAAGTTTTAATCGTTGTTCTGTTCTTGATGGTCTAGCATATCCATGTAAACATTTATTTCTATATGACTCTTTAGATTTGTGGTAGGTTTGTCCTTAGACATGGTTTTCTTGAGGATATCTTTTCTTTTTAGGGTGGTATAGAAGCTGAGCTACCCGATGTAGCTCTTCGACGCATCATGAGTGAAACCTGAGATGGCTTGTGGGCCACGACTAATTTTTATGGCAAGTTCATTCAGTTACATTAGTTTGAGCTATCATATGGTGCTTAGCTTGGTTTAGGCTTTAATATTTAGCATATGCATGTCATTGTGACTAACAATCAACTCTGATATTTTGTTAGTGCTTTTGGCTATAGTTTTAAAATACCAAGAAGGATTGAGAAAATATACGTAAAAGTAAAACAGGCTATTTTGTTAATTTGGTGATGCATCGAAATCTTATTACACAGTGCTTCCTTAAATAGACACAGAGAAAAACTAATTGATAAGATATAGTAATTCAAAAACTCTTTATCCTATCCTACCAACTTATTTTAATTTCAAATACAATAAGATAACAATGAAGTTACGTTTGAATTAACTTCTAACAATATTTACTTACCACTTTATTTTTCCCCATTTTTTTTGCATCAGCATGAACTCTGATAACACTCTATCAGAAGGTGTTAGATTTCTAATGCTTTGTTCTTAGATACATGGTATCGTAATGTTCTTAAAACCTGAAAGAAAAAAGAAATATAATCTGATCCACACATAGCAAGACCAAGCTGTAAAACTCACATTTGTGAGTGTGACTTTGGAACTCAGGTCTGTTACTCAGAAGAGTCAATTTTCAGAACTTGCCATTACAATTGAGATGACTCCTATCATACTCACGATAAGAGGCATCAACTTGTTTCATTTTGCAGCATAAGAAGTATCGAAGCACTCTTCTTTCAGTCGAAGCTCAAAAAATAAGATAAATTGGGCTGTTCTGGGAAATTATTTACACCTGAATGAGATGAGTTCTACAGGGAAATTTTAATGCAAAACTTAATAAATTTGCAAATTGGGTCAAATAATTTTCCTCTTATTACTAACAATTTAGTTTTTTCATAGGAGAAAATAATTATATTTCTTTCAATTTGCATCTTTTGAGTTATAGTCCCCATCCTGTTCAGTTGATTTAAGATTTGATGCCACATGCAATAGTGAAAAGTGACTTTACTTGGTTCAATGGTAAAACCTGGGCTGAGATATGTGAGAATGTGGTTTCATGTATGAGAGCAGCCACTTTGTGCAAAATAAGACCAAAGCTAGGCCTGACTAGCATTGGCCTTGTTATATATTCACTTTAAGAATTCTGGTAGCGTCTACTTACAATATTTATCTGACTCTGGATTTTAATAATAAACTCAGGCTGCTTTTTTAAATTATTTTTTGTCAACCTGGCCAGTAGTTTGTTTTGTTGTTGATATTTGCAAAAGTTGTAAAATTTGTGCTTGTTTTGTTGCCTCATGTGGATCAACTATTAGGTAGAGTGTTATTGCATTGGCTTAATATTTTCTTTTTCATTTGCAACAGGGAACTGAAGCCGAAGTTTCTGAAAACCAGACTGATCTTCCCCAGCACCAAAGAATGCATTCTGTTTGTATCAGCATGCCGTCCTCTCCTATGGATGTTCATTTACATAGCAGTAAAAGAGTTCCCTTCAAAGACGAGGAAACAATTTTTGACAATGATATTGCAAATTCTTCCGCTACATTGAATACTGCTGGCTCCAAAGTGGCAAATCAGGCAAAATTTCACTCTCAGCCAATACCTACAGGATCTGCATTTGATGAGGCAGTTGCAAATGGAAAATTTCCCTACCGTCCAAAGCTTCCGCTTAGGAATCCAAGGATTGAGAGACTGAAGGATAACAGATTTGATTCATTCAAAACATGGTCTGGGAAACTTGAGAGACAATTATCAAATTTGCATGGAAAGCAGAGGGAAAGTGGGCTAGAAGCAAACATGTCTCAGAATGTGGAGGTGGAGACTTTACCTGCGGCTCGATACTTTGATGCCTTGGAAGGGCCAGAGTTGGATACCCTTCGGGTATGTGCTTTCTACCCTCCTACCCATCCATGAAATTAGTTTTTTTTTTTTTTTCCTGAATTTTTTGAGTCCAACATATCTTGCAATTTTCATAATTGACATCACCTATTCTAGACGTCTACCGGACAACTTCATTTATCACTTTATGAATTATTTTTATTACATATGCCCTAATAAATTAATGTAATAGATAAAATTACGCACATTTTATAATTTATGTGGTTCCCGAATTGAATATTAATATAAAAATGCCATTATTTGAAACTCGGAAGATGTGATATATAATCTCTATTCTACAGGCTTCAGAGGAAATACTGCTTCCAGAAGACAAGCAATGGCCATTTCTTCTTCGCTATCCCATCTCTTCATTTGGTATCTGCCTTGGCATAAGTAGCCAAGCCATACTGTGGAAAATGTTGGCCATTTCTGCTTCCATGAAATTCCTCCATGTAAGCCTGCATGTAAACCTCATACTGTGGTGCATATCTGTTGCTCTAGTAGCCATTGTAGCTTTCATTTACTCTCTGAAAGTGATTTTCTACTTTGAAGCGGTCCGTCGTGAGTACTACCACCCAGTCCGTGTTAACTTCTTCTTTGCCCCATGGATAGCCTTTTTGTTCTTAGCTCTTGGAGTTCCACCTTCTGTTACTCAAAACCTGCATGCAGCTCTCTGGTACATTCTTATGATACCAATCTTTTGTCTAGAGCTTAAGATCTATGGACAGTGGATGTCGGGAGGACAGCGCAGGCTCTCAAAGGTGGCTAATCCTTCAAACCATCTTGCCATTGTTGGAAATTTTGTCGGAGCATTACTTGGTGCATCAATGGGACTAAAAGAAGGACCTCTATTCTTCTTTGCTGTTGGATTGGCTCACTACACTGTCTTATTTGTAACTCTCTACCAGAGACTTCCAACAAATGAGACACTCCCTAAGGAGCTCCATCCTGTGTTCTTTCTGTTTGTTGCAGCACCCAGCGTTGCGTCTATGGCTTGGGCAAATATTCAAGGCTCCTTTGATTATGGTTCACGAATTGCTTACTTCATTGCCTTGTTCCTCTATTTCTCTCTGGTTAGTCTCTCTGCCACTTAAAACACATGCATTATTTGCACTGTCATCTTCACTTAATCTCAGCCAGGCACATTAGGATCCTTTCTTATGTAACATTATGGCAGTATTTTTTATGTGGGTACCAAAATTATGTTTTAGCTTCACAGGTTGCTACTAAATTAATGGGCAAGTATAATCCAGCTTGGGCTAGAACCCTTAGAACTTCACAGACAGGCTTTCCGAGGCCCTTATACATTTTCTCTTGTAAAACCTAACTCATTGAGTCATTGGTGAAGACAAGAAGTTTGTTTAACCAACTCTGGGAAGGATCTACTCTTGTAAAGAAAATATATTCCTAGGCTGTTTTCACCAACCAAACAAGACCATTAGGGCTTTGTTCAGGAGTGGGATGACAAAGGACCTAAGTTTGGTCTGGCTTTTGATTCCGTCTTACGTACCTTGCAACTTGATGGTAAATTGAACCAAGTTGCAGCCCTATCACTGACACAAGTAATAGTTCTTTTCGTTATGGTTGCTGGCTCTAACTTGGCTGCTTTTTCTCTGTTTTTACAGGCTGTTCGGGTTAATTTCTTTCGAGGGTTCAGGTATAGTACGACTTACATACTTGGCATCTGAAACTGCCTTCCAATTCCTCTTTTGGTTTTATATTCTGAAAGTTCATTTTCACTGTTTTTACAGGTTCTCATTGGCTTGGTGGGCCTACACTTTTCCAATGACGGGAGCTGCAATTGCAACAATCAAGTACTCAAACGAGGTCACAAACATAGTAACTAAATGCCTTTCTGTTGTGCTTTGTATCGCTGCCACACTCACAGTAACAGCACTGCTTATAACAACTATCTCCCACGCCTTCGTGCTCCGAGATCTCTTCCCAAATGACAATGCCATTGCAATTAGCGACAGAAAGCCAAAAACATCCCGGAAATGGTACCATCGGAGAACTGGCAGCTCAGACACCAAAGACATTGAAAATTATCTTAAATTTGCAGACTCAGATAGCAAAGATATTGAGGCTGCTTTGAAACCTCCAAGCTCCACTACTAAAGAGGTTTGCATTTCTAGCCTGACCTGAAGTCAACAACAATCACTCTCATTGTGTTCCAACACAATGAGAAAATCCTTGTCGTGTGTGAATTATCACCGTTCAACAAGCGAGGGGCTAGGTTCAAAGTTTTGACAGTTCCGGTGAACTTGATGTACAAAGGGAAAAATGAGGGTTTACGTCGTAAAGGGGGAGAATTATGTATGAACTAGTGGCAAGATTGTAAGTTATGAGTGTTCATATTTGACATTTGTGTCTTTTTTTCTTAATAAACTGCTAATTTCTCTCTGAAAATAAATCTCTTTTAGTATCCAGAGTGTTCATATTTTAAATCTCTCTCTTTTAGTTATAGTGAGCTAAGTTTTATGGTACAAAATGTGGGTAAGAAAGTATGACAAACCCAAAATAGAAGTGAATTTGAAATTGATGGGTAGCGTGGAGTCTGATAGATACTGTATACCTGTTGGCACCAAAACTTGGCAGCCACCTCAGCGGTGACGTGGACCAGCGATGGGCCGACACTTGTTTAGTATGATTTCAAGAAAAGTCGGCCAATTGAGAAACAAGAGGAGAAAATCTAGAAATTTAGCCACATTATCCAATAAGGTTGTTGCTGAAATTTGGTAATTAATATTTGAGTTAATTCAAATATATTATTTGAGTTTGGATAAAAGAGATTTAGTTGGAATGAGATTCCTATGAAATAGGAATTTCGTTGCAAAGGAATAAGGAATTCAAAGGAGAGGCCGTCACGTGAGGGATAATTTGGGCAAAAGTTATAAATGGTCTTCCAGCCATTTAAGGGAAGTTTTCAGCCTAACTTAAGGAAAGGAGTTGCTAAAAGTTAGCAACTTTCCAGCAACTTTTCAGCATATTTCTCGACAACTTGCATTTGACTGGATCAATGAGAGATTTCAGCAAGGACTTTCCTATTGAAGCAAGAAGAGAAGAGACGCAAAAGACTACTGGAACGTGGTTTAGTTTGAGTAATAAAGTGAAGAAAATCAAGGAGCAAAGAGATTTTCTAACAATTAATTAGGAAAATAAGTTGAGATAGAACTTCTATAAATAGAAGTATTGTATTCCATTTCCAATTCGTCCAGCACCACCACAAAACATGCATTTCAACTAAAAATGTTTTCAATTGACTCTACGTCATTTTTCCTATCAATTTCTTTATTTCAATTTAATGGCAATTGATTAGATCATTGTCAACTATTTCGATTCAGCCATTTACTTTCTTTCAATTTCAATTATGCCAATTTTAATTACGCAATTTTAGTTAAGCTTTCAATTCAATGGCAATTGATTAAATTCTTGCCATTGAATCGTAGTGACAATTGATTAAATTCTTGTCATTACTTGGCTGATGGCAATTGATTAAATTCTTGCTATCACGTTTTAGTGGCGATCGATTAAATTCTTGCCATTGTGTTTGGCTGATGGCGATTGATTAAGTTCTCGCCATCACGTTCGGCCGGCGATCGATTAAGTTCTTGCCGCCTGTCTTCACTCGGCTATTCCATCCATTCGAACATTCATCAGCCGTTGCATTTCTTTAGACACTCTAAAAAGTCCTTGCTACAAACAAGGCATAAAAGAACCTTGCTGGGAGTTCTTACTAGTCTCTCTCCCACACAATCGCCTGAGAGTCAGCCATCGGAAAAAGGGATAGGCTGGTGTTCAATTACATATTTTGGGTATTTTGTACAAATACTCTGGCACGCCCGCGAAGAGTCTATCGACCGGCGTAGGGAACAAAAACCGCGCGAACACGTTTTGGCACGCCCGGTGGGACCACTACTAGAGTGTTATAAAAGAGGCAAATATGCCGCGGCCCACAAAAAATTCTAAGGCCGTGGCTACTGATGAAGATTTGGAGGAAGGCGATCAGCCAGTACAGGCTGAGAACTCTGCAGCAGGTCCTACTGATGAGTTAGCCGTACTTCAGGCACAGGTTAGCTCCTTGGTAGATGTAATGGGAAGGATGGGAGCACGCTACAACGACTTGCATGAAAATATGTCCCAACTCTCAGCCTTTATTTTGAACAAGCCGACTCAAGCTAGCAGCTCCAACAATCAGGAATCGGCTTCTCAGCCGAATCTATCCCAAGCTGCTCGGCCAGAGAGGGCCATTGAAACATCACAGCCATGGCCGCCAGTAGTGACACTCCAACCAGTTGCAACATCAAGTCAGCCGGTTCATACGCTACTCACCTGGGCAGAAAGCTATCCTCAGCCTACGTTGGCAGGTTCTAATCAGCCACCAGTAGTAGGTTCGCAGCCACAGGTAATTCTACCAAACCCTCCTCGGATGCCTTTGAACTCGGGGGGCAATCAGATCAGGTGGAGGCCACCGAACCCACTGTATACTCATGTGCCGCCACAGGTAGGGCTCAGGGGGCAGAATATGGCTAATCAGCCACATGATTGGCCGAATTGCTATCAACCAGCGGCTAATCAGCCGTCAGTTTTTAATCAGGTACCACCAATATTAAATCAGCCACCTCAAGTCATGTTAGATAGAAGACAATTAGCTGATTTACTCACAGAAGAATATGGCCTGGAACTTAGAGGTACCGGCCGACCAATTTATAGAACTCCTTATCCAGAAGTGGTAGACCAAGTTGAGTTCCCTAGAGGATATAAAGTCCCTGACTTTGTAACCTTTAGTGGAGAGGGGAATCAATCGACCGTGGAACACATTGGCCGATTCACGGTTCAATGTGGAGAGGCCAGTGTTAGCCCGTGGTTGAAATTGAGACTTTTTCCTAACTCTTTGATAGGGGCAGCTTTTTCATGGTATATTCGTCTACCTCCTAACTCTGTTTTTAATTGGCCACAGATGGAGGAATTATTCCACAATCAATTCTACCGTACAGAGACAGAACCTACTCTGGCCGATTTATCCAGGCTAAGTCAATTGCCTAGTGAATCGGTCGAGACATTCATTGCAAGATTCAGGAGAGCAAGATTAAGATGTCGTGTACCTCTTCCAGAACAGGAGTACATTCGTTTGGCTTTGAACGGCCTTGATTTTGAACTTCGGAAGAGGTTTGAAGGAGTTCCATTTCGTGACATGTATGACCTGGCCGAGAAAGCTACCAGGTATGAGTTGGTTCTCAAAGAGGAGAAAGAACGAAAAAATTCCTCTAAAGGTACGTACTATAGGGACCCCAACTATGAAGTTTATTCAACTAATGTGGTTGAAGAGGAAGATTTTGAAGCTAATTTAGCCGAAATCATTCTAAAGAAGCCTTATGTATGTGACGCTTTAACAAAACCAAATGTATCCACCAGTAGTACTCAGCCATCGACTTCATCGGCCAGGAAGGGTACGACTGATACTGGTAAGGTTTATACGTTTGATCTGGCCAAAACAGAACAAATTTTTGATCATTTGTTGGCCGACAAACAAATCGTTTTGCTAAAAGGACACAATAGACAGAATCATGAAGAAATCAATCGATCAATATTTAGAGAAAATGGGCCGAGGGCAGTGAGAATCATTCGGTCATCGGTGGCCGATAGAGTCCTGCCAGACCAACATTTTTATCCTAGTTTCAAAAGGAAACCAACAATTCAGTCAGAAATATGGGTTCAAAAAGGAGAAGAATCTAGCCGTGTAAGAACGGTTAGACCTCCTTTGGTTGACCATGGCAGATGGACTCGAGTAAGTCACCCAAAGTTTCCTAAGCAGCCTCCTACACGTACCCAAAAAAGGAGGATGCAGAACTCAAAAGGAAGGAGGACAAGATCGACCATGATCAACTAGAAAGGAAAAATGAACCAATGGTGGCTGAAGACATGGGGGTCGCTACGTCCTTAGAGAATAAGGCATGCTTTTATGAAGAAACAGATGATCAGCCCGACCAGGATCCAAAGCATGCGGCCAAGTACAGAATTCGTTTTGGTTCTCTTCCGGATAAGGTAAATTATAACATGGTATTTGTTTTGCCTTCTGTGTTTGAAGCAAGGATAGAACCAACGGTGAACAGGGATGTTGAGTCAGCCAAGCAGGAGGAAAAGGCTGAATCTTCAGAAATTAAGAACGATTCGACAAGTTCATCGGCCGGGATAGGATTGATCTCTCAGGATCAGCCATCTAAGGCCGATAAAATCATTTTTGAAAAACCACCTTTGTCCATGACACAGCAGTTGAGGCCGTTGTATGTTAAAGTATGGGTTGAGGGTCAGCCAATCAATAGGGTTTTGGTTGACAATGGTTCGGTGGTGAATGTCATTCCATCAACTACTTTGAAGAAATTGGGTAAAACCATGGATGATGTAGTTCCGACCGACGTGGCCATCAGTGGTTTTAATGGAGGATCTAGTAACACCAAAGGTATTCTACCTTTGGATATTACTATTGGCGGTAAGACATCCTTTACGGCTTTCTTTATCATTGATTCAACCGCGGCCTATAATCTCCTTTTAGGCCGAGATTGGATTCATCCTAACATGTGCATCCCATCAACCTTGCATCAAATGTTGATTTTTTGGGATGGAAATGAGGTAAAAATTGTTGAGGCCGATAACAAACCCTTTATAGCTAGGGTGTATTCGGCTGAGGCTGCACTTTATGATGAAACTGTTGTACCTATCAAATTTGTTGGCATTAACAGGATGGGACGACCAGCAGCGGCAACAATGAAGAAGAATTTAATTAATGCTGATATTAAAGAATTATTGTCAGAAGCAGCTCGGCCGAAAATTGATATTTTCAGGTCGACCATCAAGGACATTGAAGATGTTACTGATGGATCACAAAACCAATGAAGAAAAGAAGCGGCAAGCTTTCAGGGCCGCTTGCATCAGACTGAAAGCATATCTGGCTGAGAAGAGACTGGCCAAAGAAGAACAACTATATGAAGAGGTATCGGCCAGCACGGCCGATATAATTGAAGAGGGTTTCGAAAAACTGGATGCAATCCAACTTGAAGATTTGGAGTCAGCCCCTTCCAGGATGGAAGATAATAAAGCAGAGGTGCAAGATCCTTTATTGGAAATAAATGTTGGTACTAAAAAAGATAATCGGCCATTATTTGTTAGTGCTTTGCTTGAGCCTAAATTCCAGGCCGATTTGATTAAATTATTAAATGAATATAAGGATTGCTTTGCTTGGAGTTATGAAGAGATGCCTGACCTGTCTAGAAAATTGGTAGAACATAGATTACCGATCAAGAAAGATTTTCAGCCATATAAACAACCACCAAGAAGGATGTCTTCGGAAGTAATGCTCAAAATTAAAGAAGAAATTGAAAGACTTCTTAAGGCAGGATTTATTCGAACAGTTAGGTATGT